TATTTATTGTAGAGATGAGGTCTCGCTACCCAGGCAGGTCTCAAACCCGCGGGCTCAGGCAATCCACTCACCTCAGCCTCCCAAAGGCGCGGGATTACAGGCTGAGCCACGAAGCCCGGCTATATTTGGGAATATTAACATAGGTATAAAGTGAGGTAGTGAGGATAAAAATGGACTGAGGGTGTAAATGGGTATCTACTGAAGTTAAATATATCATAATTTGGGTAAGACCTCGGACTCTGAACCACATTAAAACATCCTTAAACTAGAAGAAATACGCTTCTTATATGTAATATATTAATCTCCTGAAATCAATGGGCTCCATGAATCCTCACCCATGAGTCAATATCAACTTGGAGTGAAATGATCTGTCAGATTATTCCTTAACTTACTGTATTACTATTACCATTTGCTACACAAACAACTGGGAAACATGGTTACTATATAAACATATCCTCAGTAGGGAATGAAAGTAGTGTTACGAATAGTAGATTTAACGCATAAGCAACTTTAGGCAGTTGTAAAAATGGTTTTGAAAATGGACCCTGTATACATGGCAGTGCGTTGAGAATAAAACATTCCACTGATTTGAAGATGATAAAAGAAAAGTGGAATGAAAACAGTTAGTGTTATTCTTCTATATTAAAACTTTCGATGGGTCTTAAAGGGCTTTAAATTCTACTTAGTTTTCCAACACATGACCTTTGCTACTTACCTAATGTATTGCCACTCTCTCCTTTTACTTTCTGTGTCTCCATCAATATGCTAAGCCAGTCATTATGGAGTCTCTGAACCCCAAATTTGTCTCCCTATTACACTCTCCTTTAGTGGTATTCTGTATTGTCCAACAGTTATTATGGTTTTTTTTTGAGTTGGAGTCTCACTCTGGAGTGCAGTGGCCGCTCCCAGCCACCACAGCCTCGACCTGCTGGGCTCCGGCGATCCTTCCGTCTCAGCCTTCCAAGTAGCTGGAACTACAGGTGCACGCTACCACGCCCGGCTAATTTTTTTTGATTTATTGTAGAGATGAGGTTTCGCCTGCCCAGGCGGGTCTTGAACCCGTGGGCTCAGGCAATCCACTCACCTCAGCCTCCCAAAGGTGCGGGATTACAGGCTGAGCCACCGAGTCTGGCATTGTTTTTTTAAAAAATGCTTAATATCTGTCTTCCCTGCTAAAACATAAGCTCAAAAAGTCATGATTGATGCTTGGCTTTTTGAAGGGATATGGCCCCATAGCTTAGTGCAGCATCTGCTACACGATTACTCAAGTAATGTGCTAAAATAAATATATTAGTTGTTATTTTAAAATCTCATCTGGGTATGCAGAGCATACAAACAAATAGTACCTGATGATTTGTGAGTTAAAGCTTAAGAACAGAAAAATTTAAATCCTTGTTCTCACTATGTAGTCTCCTGAAGTGGGGAGATACAAATTTAGAGAAAAACAGGATTGGGGTGTGTGTGTGTGTACATGTTTGCTATGGAGGATGGGGAGAGAACAGAAAGAGGTAGAGAATACCCAAGATCCCCGTAACATTGACAAATGTTTGACAAAGAGAAAATACAATCATCTGCTGTTTTTCAGAGTATATAAACCAAATTGGTGATATAAAAAAGATAAAAGGCCAATTTACTAATGATGGAATAAAATAGAATATAAATCTTAAGGAAGAAAATATAATTACCTTCTTTTATTTATGTTTATTTGTTGTTGACTTTGTATATGCTGTCTCTTGTAATACCGATTTGCTCCAGGTAACAAACAAAGCATCTAATGTAATATCAAAATAAAGAATTTTTTCAATTTCGTGAAAAATGTTTTATCTCTAGGATGTTTCTTTTACCAGAAGCCTGATTGGTCACACTTACTTAATGGCAGCTGGTGGCTACAGGAAATGTCAAGTAGAATAGAAAACGGGGACGGGAGACTTTGGAGTAGAGGAAGCAGGAAAGTGTGAGAAGGAGGAAAGGCATCAACTCTTACCAATTTACTCAAACCCCTAGCAAGTGTTCTCAGTGTAGGCTGAACTGAAGATGTATTCAGAGCCAGTTGTCTGTGGATGCATACTGCACACCAACCTGTGCATGCTTAATCATTATGAGGCATGTATTTGTATTTCCCAACTCAACACTCAGACTCAGAGTGTATCTGCGTGGTGCCGAACAATTCTGTACAAAGAGAAAAATCTGTTTTATCAAAACAGTCTCCTTTTTTTTTTTTTTTTTTTGAGTTGGAGTCTCACTCTGCCACCCAGACTGGAGTGCAGTGGCCACTCCCGGCCACCGCAGCCTCGACTTGCTGGGCTCCGGTGATCCTTCCGCCTCAGCCTTCCAGGTACCCGGAACTACAGGCGCGCATTACCACGCCCGGCTAATTTTTTGATTTATTGTAGAGATGAGGTCTCACCAAGTTGCCCAGGCGGGTCTCGAACCCGCGGACTCAGGCAATCCACTCACCTCAGCCTCCCAAAGGCGTAGGATTACAGGCTGAGCCACCGAGCCTGGCAACAGTCTCCTTTTCTATGCCAGTGATTCCCCAGTCCTTTTCTAGAATCAGATGTATCAGAATCATATTAGATGGTTGTTCAAAATGCAGAATTTGAACCTTGTTACAAACCTTGTGAATCAGAATCACTAGGTATATGGTCTAAGAATATGCATGTTATTAATCTTCCTAGACAATGCTGATAAGCGATAGAGCTATGGAACTAAGAATTCTTCTCAACACAATACTACACAAGCAATATTATTTATTTTCTAATAATTTTTGAATCATTTATTGTTTCAAGCCGTATATAAAAGTTGGAAACTTCATTTTCTAGAGGTTTACAAACCAAGAGATTTCCATTCTAAAAAGGCTATTAAATGAAATGAAAAAAAGAATAGGATCTGGTTTTAGAGGACCTAGATTCAAGCAGGTCTTTGCTGTGTTACCAATACTGGCTTTTGCTGACTATGAATAGATTGACTGAAAGTATTGATATTTGCATTTATGACCCACAAATATGGTGATTTTATATGGTTCAGCCTAATAGTTGGACGCTGAGCATTGTTATCTGTATCTTAAATGGGATTACAATGTTATCAGAAGGCTATTTTGAGGGTTAAATGAGCTTGTATTGATGATCCCAACTCTAAAGCTATGAAGTGAGCTGATCTTTCATCTCCTGTGGAGACTGCACTACTAGTAAATGCTAGTCTTTCTGTTTGGACATTGTACACCATTAAAATAAGGCTTGCAGTAATTTCCATTGCACAAACAAATAGAACCTATTCCACACTTTGGAACACTGAGTGATGACTGCAAGCCCATGTCAGTATATGAGAATTCTCCAAGGGATTCATAGCAAGCTATAGGTTCTTGCACACATCTGCTAGAACAGCTTTTTGGAATTGTTGCCTTTCTATGCATCCTCATGTCATTCCTTACGCCCTGGTTTCCTCTATTTTCTTGAGTCAGCAGGACACAGAGAAGCTGCTTCATTACGTTGCTCTTCCTCCTTGTCTGATGCATGCATGGAAGGAGTGATTAATTTTAAGCAAACCTCTTCAGTATTAGCATGCCAACCACACTTCGGGACTTTAGAATGGAGAGTTCAACCAACTACTTAAACTACCCAGAATCAATACCCAGAAAACCTTAGTAAATAATTGAGGTGAGAAGGTCTGTGGATATTGTGATTAGGAATTGGTGATTTGGAGTTTGCGGCAGCCAGAATTAGCCCACAAAAAACAAGTTGAAGTATCTATCAATTGAACTTTTTTGAATAACTTTATTTTACTTATAATTGAAGATATTTAATAATGTCTCTCATATGTCCTTCTGAAAGCGTTGGGGAAATATGTGTTTGTGACTGAACAATTAGGTGGAATCATAACCACTTGAAAACCACACAGAGTTTTGTCAGAGAGATTCCAAATGATGTCTGCACAGTGATGTGCTGAAACTGTCCTAGCTCTTGGGAGCTTATTGTGCACAACTCTTTCCAGTGCCTATTTCACTGATATCACATTGAAACTGACCGTGATGGTAGTATTCAACAAGAAAATTGACCAATACTACAAATCTGAGCTTTTCCTCTAGAAAGTCAGTTGTTAAACATTTCTCAGCACACCATTGGTTTATCTTATTTTTTCCCTAAATTTTGAATTCAGTCACTCATAAAATAAATGTGGGACATATTAGTCAATATGCTAGAGTTAGAATAGAAAAGGATGTCATATGTTCTGTGCTGAGGTAGTTCCTAGTCTAGTATGAGAGGTGGACATATGATCTGCAAAGCATGATATAGTCTACTCCCTTGATTTCTTTTATGTTATGGTCTTAGCCACCCTAGCCTTTTTGCTGTTCCTTAAACAACCCAGACTTATTCCTGCCTCAAGCTTTTGCACCTGCTATTTATTCTCTCAATAAGGAATGTCCTTCCTCCAGATCTTTGAATTCTTGGCTTTGCCTCAGTTCAAACATCACTTCTTCAGAAAAACCTTTCCCAATTTCTTCCACTCTAAAGTAACCAACTCACTTTGCTCCCATCACTCTATTATTTCAAAACACAGTTTTTTAAATTTAAATAGATGTTTAATTTTAAAATAGTTTTAGATTTACAGAAAAGCTGCAGCAAAGATAGTTCAAAGAGTAAGAACTTATATACTTCACATCCAGTTTTTCTTTTTGCTACCATCTTATTATGATGTATTTTTTACAACAGGAAACCCAACATTAGAATATTACTAATAACTAAACTCCACATCATAATTGGATTTCACAATCTTCTATTACTTTTTTTCTAATTAATTCTTCCTCTTTCAGGATCACAATCAGGATGCTACATTATGTTTAGTCATGTTTCTTTAGTCTTCTCTGGTCTGTAGTAGCTTCTCAGATATTCCTTATTTTCAATGGCCTTGTCTATTAGAATTACCGGTGGAATATTTTGTAGGATGACCCTCAAATCAGGTTTGTCTGAGGTTTTTCTCTTTTTTCTTTTCTTTTTTTGACAGAGGCAGGCAGCGGACTCTTTATTGCTTCTGGGGAGCGAGCTCAGGAGCTCTTGGTGGGGCGGGTCCGCTTTCTCTTCACCATCACGGGCTTCTGGCTGCACAGGATGGCGCTGGCCCTGCAGATGGCAGCCATGCGCAGGTCGGGGCGGTACTTATTCTCGCGGATCATGTACTTGATGCTGCTGAGCGTGGCCTTGGCGTTCTTGTTGATGGTGGTCCGCACGTAGGAAGTGGCTGGCTTTCGCTGGTCGGACCTCCACTTCATGACCACCATGACGCCCTTGCCCTCGGCCGCCGGCTCCACGCCCACCGTCTTGCGGTGGATCAGCCAGTTGTAGCGGAAGGAGTTGTGGGCCTTCAGGTTGTTGGACTCGTTGCTGTAGGTCTGCTAGTTCCTCTTGATCAGGAAGCTGGAGCAGTTCCGCACAACCATTCACTGCAGGTGCCGGAAAGAGCTGAAGTTTTCCTTATGATTAGACTGAGGTTATGGAGTTTTTGGAGGAAAACCATAAAGGTGAAGTGCCACTTCCATCATATTGTATCAAGGGTACATGGTAGCAAAATGGTAGCATCACTGAAAATGCTAATCTTGATCACTGGGATGGAAGTAGTATTTGTCTACAATGTAAAGTTACTCCATCTTCCCTACTTCCTATCACAGTTATCTTTGGAAGAAAGTCATTAAATACAGTTCACACTCAAGGGGTGGGGTGCTACACTGTAATTACATAAGGACTGAGTCCCTAAATTGTTCTGTACACAAGATTTGTCCTCTCTACCCATATATTATTAAATCATTTATTTATATTAATATAGACTCATTGACATCTATTTAACATCTTGGGTTATAATAAAAGAATTTCGGCGCCAGTAATGACTCCACACCCGGCCAGGACCAAGAGATTTATTAAAGGGGGCTGTTACAGAGAGGATCTGTAACGGGGAAAAAAGAAAAGAAGAGAAAGAGAATTGTGGGGAGAGGGCTGTATTTATCAGCCTGACAGGGGCCAGAAGGGGCCGTGCTATGTTCCTATTGGAGGAGCTGCATAGGAGTAGGGTGGGGCTGACGCCATGTTATAGTCCTATTGGACGCATAACAAAGCTGGCTAAGGATTGGAGGTTTGCAGGTTTGAAATTCGTCGCAGGGAAATTGTGCTCACAGAAGCCGGGACCTAGGGCCTTTGTTGTCTGGTGTGTCAGAGCCATTTTGGGAGCCTCTGGTGGCTTCCTGCACCCTTCATATAATACATTACTCAAATTATCATAGCTTTGTACACTGGGAACTCTTTTTGGGTTGTTCCTCTTTTCATCCTTTTGTATTTGAACACTGCATTACTTTCTGGTACTATAAGGTGCTCTAGGCTTATCTTGTACATTTTCTGCCCCAGCCATTTTTCCAGAAGCCCTAGTACCTTTAATTGGAGAATGGTGTTAGAAATCAAGATCTGAATACTGAATGTGTTTATTGCTAAATACTTATACTTACTTATATACCCTGTTAGTGAATAGAGCTAAGGAATGTATCTACTAAACTGTGTCTACACACCTATCTAAAATTGTTTCTGTATCTATCCAACTATATTATTTTAAGTGAAAATGTGTTTATACAGATGTCACCAACTCTATTCCAGTATCGAAGGGTTTATTCTACCCTCCCAATTTATCTATAACCTCCTACTCCAGCAGTGAGAAACCTGATTCCCACCATACATCATCCATTCATTATTTTGTTTAATGTCACTATTCCTGTATAGAAGCTTCAAAATTAACTTGTGTTCCCATGGGAAAAAAATTACTAAAGCTAGATTACAGTGTTTATATCAAGCTCCTCTTGTTTTATTTTATTTTTATATTTTTTATTATAAAGATATGGGGTACAATTCAAGGTTGGGTATACAAACGTTGATTATGCATTTACCCTTGCTGATGAGGTATACTCCTCCCTCCCCTAGCAGTTTTCCTGAACTGCCAATCTCACCCCCCTTCCCCTGACAGTTTCCTACTACTATCAATCCCTTTCTTATAGTATTATAATTGTTCAAGGTCCACTTATGAGTGAGAACATATGGTACTCTGTTATGTGTTTCTGTGAGGGATCACTGAGTATGATCAACTCTAAATCCATTCAAGTTGCTGCAAAGTCCATATGTTTGTCCTTCTTTATGGCTGCATAATACCCATTATATATATATATATATCACATTTTTAAAAATCCAGTCCAGCTTTGATGGGTAACATGGTTGGTTCCATGTATTTGCTATTGTGAATAGAGCTGCAACAAACATACATGTGCAGGTATCTTTTTGGTAGAATGATTTGAGTTCCTCTGGTATATACCAATAGGGGAATTGCTGGGTCATATGGAAGGTCAACTTCTAGTTCTTTCAGAAATCACCACACTGTCTTTCAAAGAGGTTGCACTAGTTTGCATTCCCACTAGCAGTGGAGAAGTGTTCCTTTTTCTGCATCCTCACCAGCATCTGTTGTTTGTTTTATTAATGATGGCCATTCTTACGGGGTTAGGTGGTATCTCAATGTGGTTTTGCTTTGCATTTCTCTGATGATGATTGAGACTGAGCACTTTTTCATGTGTCTGTTGGCTACCCATATATCTTCTTTTGAGAAGTGTCTATTCATGTCTTTTGCCCACTTTTGAATGGGGCTGTTTGTTTTTTCCTTTCAGTGCATTTGAGTTCCTTATAGATCCTAGATGTTAGGCCTTTGTCAGATAAAGAGTTGGTGAATAATTTTTCTCATCCTGTGGGCTGTCTCCCTGCTCTCCTGATTGTTTATTTTGCTTTGCAGAAGCTCATTAGTTTGATGAGGTCCCACTTGACTATCTTATTTCTTAAGTTATGGGCATTTAGGGTTCTGAATAGGAATTGGTTGCCAGTTTCAATTTCCATAAGGGTGTCTCTTGCATTTTCTAAGATTCTTATAGTTTGAGGTTTTACGTTTAGGTCTTTGATACGTTTAGAGTTGATTTTTGTGTATGGTGATAGGTAGGGGTCCTGTTTCAATCTTCTGCATGTTTTCCCAGCACCATTTACGGAATAGGTTATCCTCTCCCCGGTGGTTGTTGTTGGATGCTTTGTCAAAGATGAGTTGGTTGAGAAATTGAGCCTTTGCTTCTGGAATCTCTATCCTGTTCCATTGGTCTATGTGTCTGTTCTTGTACCAATACCAGGCTGTTTTGATTACTATGGCCTTATAGTAAAGTTTGAAGTCTGGAAGTGTGATACTTCCTGCTTTGTTTCTTTTGCTAAGGATTGTTTTGGCTATTCGTGGTCATTTATGTTTCCATATGGAATTTCTGTATTGTCATTTCCAGGTCTGAGAAGAATGATGTTAGTAACTTAATAGGTATTGCGTTGAATCTGTAGATTGCCTTTGATAGGATGGACATCTTAACAATGTTGATTCTTCCTATCCATGAGCATGAAATTTTTTTTCCATTTGTTTGTGTCTTCTTGGATTTCTTTGAGCAGTGTTTTGTGTTCTCATCATAAAGGTCTTTCATTTCTCTTGTTAGAAAGTTGCCAAGGTATTTCTTTTTGTGTGTGTGTGGCTATTGTGAATGGGATTGTGCTTTTTATTTCTGCCTGCTTGTTGTTGGTGTGTAGGAATGCAACTTTGCACATTTATTTTGTAATTGAGACTTGCCAAAGTCCTTTATCAGTGCAAGCAGGTTTTTGACAGATTCTCTTGGATTTTCAAGGTATAGGATCATATAATCAGCAAAGAGGGATAAACTGACTTCCTTTTTTCCTATTTGGATACTCTTGATTTCCTTCTCTTGTCTAATTGCCCTAGGTAGGACTTTCGACACAATGTTGAACAAGAGGCGTGAAAGTGGGCAGCCTTGTCTTGTTCCAGTTTTCAGGGGTCTCCTCTTGTTTTTAATCTCATAGTTTCCAGTCCAAAATTCATTTTTCAAAGACAAAACCAAATCATAATGCTCATTATCTTAACGTATCACAATTATTTGTATATTATTTTTCTTCCCAAATAGAATATAAACTCTAGAAGAGCAGGAAAACCTGGTTTGTCCATCTTGCTAAACATTCTAAACTCTGCATCAAAGACAGTATCAGAACATCAAAAACAATAGCAAGCATAGATAATATTTGTTTTAAGGAGGGATAAAATCACTTACAAAACAACATATTTTTATCATTTGATTCCATTCACTTGGCCAAGTGTAATTAAGTACTAGGTAACCAATACGTTCCTTCAAATCATGGGAGAAGATTTTGACAGGTAAAATGCCATTACAATAACCTGTACTGAGAAATAAGACTGCCAACCTATACAGATACAAAATCATCTGTTTCTTCCTTCTCTGTCAGAAAGCGGTGGCTGACCCACACTAAATGAGCAAAGTCAAATAAAGGAAATGCCAACACCAAGTGCCTGGAACCACAAGGTAGGCTCTTGGGACCTTGGTCACTCAGTCCTCTATGAACTCATGTCTATTCAAATAGTTTATTGAAGGGAGCCTAACCATTCAAATCCTGATCCTACTCAACTCTTCTCAGAGAGGGTGGCTATCCCTATATTCCAGATGGATTCATATTACAGTTTTTCCAAAGGATGTTAAATCCATATCCTGAAATTGCTACTAAGACCTATGAACTTGAGCTAATATCGATTACTTAATAGTTATACTTTAGACAATTATTAGATAAAATAATCGTATGTTCTCCACCATTCACTAGTTGTTACAAGTGCAATTGATAAAAAAAATTCAGTAGTGTTGTTTGAATCATATGTGCTGCATATAAATTTCCAGATATTTTAAATGGATTCTTCAATTGTCACAACAAAAGATCTGCTACCTAGATCACATTATATTACCTCCCTCCTCAATATCCATATATGTAGAAATGCTATTACCTGTAGCCTTATTGAAGTATAGTCTAAGAAACAATCTTGTTAAAGTATATAGTGCTGTTGTGGAATAAACAAATATATAAAATTAAATAGAGTACAAAATGCTTTGTTTGATAAAAGTGCCATTTCAAATCGAGTGACAAGGGTAGGGGCAAATATATTTTTTCATCCTTTTTATACCTTCCTACTGTTTTCTTATTTTTGGGTACAAATGTATTATTTAATTTAAACCATACAAAAGTAGGAGAAAGACAAGAAAAATAAGTATTCCAGAACTTGCCTGTGTAATAATTGAAAAGATGTTGCTCATTTAGAACACACCATAACCTCTTTTATATGACCCTGCCTAGAAAGAAAAATAATTCTATTTCATTTTTTATTCTAGGAATGTGTATACTCCTGAGCAATTGTTTTCTTTAATATAATGAACACTGTGAATTATGTAATTGTCTATCTTTCACATTTTACTTTGGATGTTAGAAAAATTAGAGGCAAAATTCTGCCATATTTTGCACTTATGCTGTCTTCTCCAAAACCTTTTAAGCTTCTTCAA